GGAGAAGGAAATACCCTTCTCTTCCTTCTCTCCCCTTCTTCTATGCCCTGTTTCTGTTATCCCCTTCACAGTGGCTCTCATACTTGTACAGGAAGGAGGAAAAGGTGGACGTTTGATGGTGTAAATCAGTCTTGGATCAAGCGAAGGATGTTAGCTGCACAACACTTTTTTTAAGTCTGATGAACCCTGAATCTGACACCATCTTCCAGCAATTCCCAGCTTAGAATGTCTATCAGCCTTAACAGGGAGAAACAAGATCTTTTAATGCCTTGAGGCGAATGCCAGCCGGTTTTGCCCTTGCAAAACATGTAAAATGTTCTGCTGCTTCCAGATCTATGAAATAGCCTGTTTTGTCTGGGAGATAGGCAGTATTGATAGCTTCTCCTTGTTTTCTGAGAAACTAGTCCAGTCTACACGTGTAATTTACAGTTCAGCCCTATTTTTTCTGTGTCAAACTGAATTACAAAAGAATACATGAACACACCCATTTGATAAATTGAACCAAAAGTATAAGAAGCAGAAAACAGTCTTCTTTGAAATAATTTTTACAGACAGTGATACTAGTTGAAAAGATGACACTATACTATTCACTTGAGCTTGCACTCTAGGAAGCAGGTATGTGTTTAGGCAGCCAGGAAAACAAACAGAAGAAAGGACTGTGCCACCCAACAAAAAATTAACAGATGAGATTCATATTTGCTGGATTTTTCAAAAAGCAAAAATATGAACGTAGCATAAAGGGGCTAGACAAACTAAAGAGCTAAAATGAACTTTTCTAATGTAGTGTTGACTTAAACATATACAATTTACTGGCTGAAAGCAGGGGAGTCTGCAAGGGAAGGCTTGTTCTGTGTCCTGTTTTCCTCCTGCACATCCTTATTATTAATCAGCCTTACTAGAAACATGACAGTTTTGCTAAATAGACCTTTGGTCTGACCCAGCTCAAGCTTTTCACATCATTGAATGGTAATGAATAGTGCAGCTATCCCTGCAGAGGACACAGAGTGAGGAGAGGGTGGTGTGCCATAGAGATGTACCTGCTGTCCATGTGAAGAATATAATACTGTTAACAATTCTGGTGTTCTTGTGCCCACTCCCTTTGCTGCATTGTTTTCCCCAAATCAATAGTTTTTAATACATCAGAAAGTTATGGGTTATTTTTATTTGAAGATGTAAGGGCTAGGATCATCAGTGAGGTAGCTGAAGGCTTCTTTGAATCCACACGATGGGTATTATGTAGGAAAAAGAATTTCTCAGGCCAGCTTGATGGCTATTTAGTCCCACAACAATTTAATATTCTGAGCAGAATTTACAGATAACATTTGCCAGGAGAAAATAGGGTAGTTTTTTGCAATAGGTGCAATTTTACTTTCTTTCTTGGGTGGCTTTAAGAACTTTAGAAGAGATAAGTGAAGCAGGAGAGGCAGTGGGATAGCATTGTTTGTGAGGGACTGTTTAGATTAGATTGAAACCGATGATGATGATGACAGGTTGAGTGGGTAAAGATCAGGGGAATGTCAGCAGAGTCGATGTCCTGTTAGGAGTCTGTTACAGACCACACCACCTAGCCAGGATGAAAAGGCAGATTATTCATTCTACAGGGGGCTGGGAGAAATCTTACAAGTGCCACCCTTGCACTCATAGGGGATTTCAACAGATATCTACTGGTAGTTTAGAAAATGAGGGGGTCCATCCCAAATCTCATGACTCAGAAGGATGGTCTCCCTTTTTGCATCCTTACCTTTTATATGTCTCCTAGTAAATAATTCTAAATCAATTCTTATCTGATTTTATTTTATATATTTCATACATATAGTATGTAATGCAAAGAATCTTGCCACTGAAGTTTGTTAAGCTGTGCTTCTGGAAATTTATATTAAAATTGCTTTTTAAATACCTTTGCAGTGATTTTATAAATGCAATTTTCATGGCCTAAACAACAAGGTGTTTCTTTGGTCAGGACATGTCCTCTTCTCCACTGCAGATTTCAGTACTACAAGAAGCCTGGAGGTCTTTTTAATGGAAGGCTTATATGGCTTTGGAAGCAAAAGTATGAAATGGTGGCAGATATTGTAGGGCAATAACTGCAAATTGCATGTAAGCAGCTGCTTCTCTAGATGATGGACAGTGTTTCACATGTATGAAGGGCTCACAAAAAGTGATGAAACATGCTACTTTGAAGGGGCATTCTCAGAGGCTGTGGTTAACCAGGGGATTAGGATGACTACAGACATCCTGCCAGCCAGCCTTGAGGAGCCTCCAGGAGGAGAGAAAGCCTGTGCAGGGATAGGGAAGAGCAGCACAGGCAGGTACTGCCCTTCACCCACCTCCTTGGGCTGCTTCCACTATAAAATACCTCTGTAAGATCAAACCTAGGAAACAGTGCAAGAAAAAATGCTTTTTTCCCCTCCTGCTATTCTTCTCATTATTCCTTTTGCTCCTTCTTTCCTTTTTCTCTTATTTTCATTTATTTTCTTTCCCCTTTAAATCCTCACAGGGTTTTACAAAGGAGTTTTTCTGCCAAGCTGTGTTCATTTTAAAGAGAGGAAAAACTGAAGTGCAGGAGTTTATGAAGGTAGCTCATGACACCACCCCATGGTGCCTCACCTGGCCTCAATTCCACTTCAGCACTTACAGCCAGAAGTTGCAGCCACTCCGGGACAGCAGCAGCTCCCAGAACAGGCAGGGGTGCAGCAGAGAGCTGTCTGTGTGCATAAACTGCATTAAGATGGCTTTTATATCAGAAGAAGTGCAAATGCAGCAATTTGAATTTAATTTGACATTTTGTGGTGTCATTAAGATGAGGATGCCCTAGTGGTGGAATCTCCCTGCTCTCCAACAGGCCTCCAGAGAGAGTCTGGATGGCTTCTGTAGGCTGGCTGAGCAACAGGGTGTCAAGCAACCTTCCAGACCATCAGCACGGGGTTCATCACAGCACTACACTTGAGGGAGAAAGACCAATAGTAAGCTGAGATATTGGGTGTTTAGCACGTGCACAGTGTTATGTTGCTCAGTATGTAAATTCTGTGCCTGAAACAACTCTAATCCTGGTCACTCAAATGCACTCTGTGTGTGTCTCACCGGGACATTCAGCCCCTAGGGTGGGTACATGATGAAGACAGGAGCCATGGCCTCACGGGTGCCTCAGCCACCCCTCTCACCTGGAAACGTCAGAGCAGAGGGTTGCAACTCCTCAATTTTTAGGTTTACTGTAACAAAAGCTGTGAATCTCTCTTCCTATAACAGCATCTGCTGCACAAAGTTCAAACTCTTCTTCCTGTTACCCCTCAAGCAAGTGAATTTTGTATAACAATGCTGGAAATGTCCAGAGGCAGCCCCTTGACTGGGGTAGGGAGGATTGCTCAGCACTGGCTGCTGTGTCCTGCAAGGCAGTGCTGATCTCATGTGGCACACCTGTTTGCTGCTTCACAAGTCATAAAAATACAACAATGGGGATTCCTTCTTAAAATAAGAGGCCATGGAATAATTTTTAGAGCACTGAGAGTGAGTATTAATGCTGCCCTTAGCTAGCTGGAGTTGATATCCCATATGAATTATCAGAGAAGTTGGGTTTCTGACAGCTGTAAACTTTCACCAGTGTGCTTGGAGGTGAGATTGGTTCAAGCAGGGACTGAGATAAAAATGTACTATTCCTTAATACTTTCAGTTTCTAAGAAGAAAAATACTTCAATATTTTGAAATGTTACAACTGACACCAATTATGAAAGGAAAAAGCACTGCTCATATTTCAGCTTGATTTCATGGCCTTTATGCCATATTTTTAAGGAAATTCCTAAAGGCCATATTTAATTAAAAATAATGCAAGAATGCAGTCACATGCTTTGAAAGGAAGACAGCTGATTACAGATTACAAACATAGGGCAAGCAACCTGCATTTTGCATTTTAACTGTGCTCTTAAGTCATAAACTGCAAACTTATTAAGCTGAAATATAAATGATCCAGTATCTGATCTCAAACCAAGAGAATTTTTGTTTTCTGCTTTACAGTCATGGGAGAAGATTGATAAATTTACGTTGATGAAGTATTCAAGATTATTCAGTGGCTTTTTGGGGAGATTGCAGAGTATTTTCTCTTGTACAAACTGTGCCTGCATCAACTCATTGTAGTGAAACAGATAATTCTACACTGAGATTTACTGAGACCTAACCAAAGGCTCTCCAATTTTCAAATTTACTTGGAAAGCCTCTACACCATAAGAATTCTGCTTGCATCTGGGGCTCACACTACTTTAAACAGGTAAGTCTCAACAGAGTACTCCAGCGAAATACAGCAAAATGATATTTTTCAAAAGTTAACTGTCAAGTAGCAAAATTCCCACGCTGAAAGTCTAAATGGACCCTCCTAGTAAGGAAAGTAGTCTATGAAGAAGTTTTCTTTCACTTTCTATTCTCTGCTGGTTGATAAAAATAGAGAACAGTTTTATTTCTTATGCACAAAATTTTGAGCAGGTTGATAACAGCTTGCACTTAATTCTCAACATTTCAGTATACAATTCCTCAATGTGTAATTAGTGGTCCTCTTGTGGCAGTTTTTGTTTTAAGAAAACCCACTTCTGGTGAATTTCAGAGCTGCTAAAACTGGGGAAATTTTTATGCCTAGGCTGTGAAAAGTAAGAAAGTGAAGAAACACTTCAAAGGAGATGTGACTATTTGGTTAAGCAGAAAAAGCAAGCATTTCAGTATACTTCAACACAAAGAAATTATAAAGTGGCTACTGAACCACTGGCTTTGATTGATGAAGCCAACAAATCTGGTAATAAAGACATATCAAAATCTGTAAGAGCTTTGAATCTGAAAAAGGATCCCCTAAAATAACATTGTACATATGAAGCAGAGTTTGCAAATTCCTGTGATGGGGGTTTGCCCAGGTTCCTCAGAGAACAGGGTATGTTGCTGTGTATTTTGGCCTTCATTGTTTATTAGTCAGCTTGTCAGCTTTCTCTCTCTTCTCAAAAGTCAAATACAGAAAGAGACAAGGGTTGGCATAAATACAAGGCCTCTTTATTTTGTTTCAACAGTACATGACTTCCTATTTAGCGTGATCAAAACCAAGCAGAACAGTGGAAATTGCATATACCATTTATCCTAATACACAGTTCTTCCTTGAAACTGCACAAGTACAAAAGGAAGGATAAATTCAACAACATTAACTCCAGTTAGGCATTTTCACATGAACCAGAGCTTATGCACAACAGGTGACGAGCAGACAAATCAGCATCAGAAAAACTTACTCCAGCAAGATGTGAACTCTCCTTTGGGGAACGAAAATGTGTCTTGAAGCAAGGGATGTAAACATCCTCAGTTAAGGAGCACATGTTAATGTTTTCTAAAAGTTTCATCACTAAAAGCTGTTAGAGGCATACACAACCCAGCTTCAAAGCCACAAGGCCAGACAGGATGCAGTTTACAGCCTTCAGCTGTCACCAAAACTGGCCCCTTCTCCAGCAGGCTAACCTCCAGTTTGTTGTACCTAAATATTCCTAGGAGCCCTTGGCCAAGGAAAGCTGCTCATGGTTTAAATGCAGATCACAGTAAAACATCTAGATTATATCCTAGCCTTGACTGAGTTGAATTGTTACTAGTTGATTCAAGTCATTAAGCCAATCATTGAGTCTAAGAGCTGCTGAAACGTAACAACATCTACCTGGTGGGACAAATATTTTGTGTTGAAGCATTAGGAGGACTGGTATAAGATTGCCCTTTATCCTCATCCTTCTCCCAGCTCTGCTCTTTAGCATAGTTATTTTCAAACTAAGACTCAGTCTATGAGAAGCCACAAGCCAATACCAGAATTAAAGCTAGTACACACTTACGAGTCATGACAGGGTAAAGAAGTGAGGGTCTAGGCATGTCTAATGCATTAACTTCTGCAGAAGTGACTGGCTCTGCAGAAGCCACAAAGGACCTTTTGGTTGGAGCACACTGATTCTGGCCATTTTCTAATAAAGATTTTCCACTGAAGTTTCCAGGAAACTGTCTTCCAAAAACATTGCTCAGACTTTCCCCATAAACTAACAGTTCTATTAGATTTTGTTACTCTTTTTCATACCTAGGAGATGTCATTTGCTAGTTTCTCTGTTAAGAGAAGCATGAGTTGCTACACATATAGTGCTTAAAACCCCCACAGATTTAAGCCAATGTCCTAGTATCTAGAAGTTCAGTACTAGATAGATGATTGTGTGACTTAAAATGTATTTATTGTTCTCAGCAATGAGCTTAATTTCTAAACAATCTGATATTTAAAACAGTTTGTATTCAGACATTTCAGTCACACCAGACTGTTTGTGCTGAACTCAGTTATCAGGGAATGATGTCTGGGATATGTATGAACAGAAATTCTTCACTGGGACCAGACTAATTCAGCCTCTGTTCTGGCCAGTGCTAAATGTTTCACAGGGAAGGTATAGATAAAGCATAATATGCCCTTACATTGTTTCCTCTGGAGCCATTACAGATAATTTTGATTTAAATCTAGGAGCCAAGCTCTAGAAGTTGTGAAGAGTTACATAATTATCCCATAAGCAGGTATTTGGGCTTCTATTATTAAGTGTGTAAGCAACTGCTTTGGGAACTTAGTCAGGTTTTGGACCTCCATGACTTTTAGAAGGAATGACATCCATGGTCTAATGGAACATTACCCGGGAAAGAATCTTTTTTTCTGCACATTTCATGCCTAAAATTTCACTGACCTGTCATCTTTTTATGAGTTCCTAGATCAATCTCCTTTCTACTTTGCAGTACTTTGTATTCTGCTACCACTATTTTCAAATGTCTTCTGAAATTAATTGTTTACCTGTCCTTGGGAATGCTGCCATGTAGGGCCAGGAGTTGGACACAATGATCCTTGAGGATCCCTTCCAGTTTAGTTTATTCTGTGACTATACACTATCATTTTACAGGTGAGTGGATTCCTAACACATACCAGGCTTCAAATAAAGCAGCATAATAATGAAAATCCAGAATTTTAAAATATGTCCACCTTATCATCTGTTACAGATTGTTCCTGCAAATGCTTAAAACAGTATTTTTAAACAGCTTGTCTGAGTAATGACATTAATATCTTCTCCTTTTAAAATCAGGATATTCTTTGAAAGAACTTCATCCTAAGTATTCTTTTTAAATGAATAATCAAGAATCACTATGTTCTTTTTTGCTCAATTTAACTGTAGCTATTCAACAGTAATGCCTCTTGCGAAGTTGCATTGCATTATCATAATTATATTTGAAAAAAAATCTATTTATCTGAACTTATTTTTACATTAAATGTTAGTATTCAAGTTCATAAAACCATTATATTTTTTTCATTCATGAGTGTATAATCAGGCACAGAATCTTAGACAGGAAAATTTTAAAGTTCTCTTTTCTAAAAGAAAGCAAACTTACTAAAAATTTCAGTACAGTGAAAAAATACACCTTTTTTCCCTTACAAAACCTTAGGATTACACAAAAATACAGCATAAATATGAACATTAGGCCAAGGCAACATTTTAAAGTGCAGAACTCCACTTGTCACACATGAATAATTCAAATAATGCTGCATAATGCATAGCATTCTTATTAGTATTTCAAAACCTAAAGTGACACAATGAGATAAACATATAACAGTAATTCAAATGCATTCTATTTATAATTAATAAGTGCTCATCTGACCATAGAACATAGTAAGCACATTGTCCCAACAAGCAAGCTCTACACAAATACCCTTTTTTCCCCCTTTGTCTGAATGGCGTGCTACCATTGAACATAAAGACATATTAAGAAAGAAATATCTCATGTACCATCTGGTAAGAAAACCTGTGGGGAGAGACATCTGGAATCTGCTGCATGTACATTTTTCCAGAGGTTTTATCAATCAATTTATAATGTCATATTTTTCAATTCATGCTGACTGAAAATTATTCCATTATTTTCTTCCACATACTCATATCCCCTTAATGCCCAGTTGTTTCATTTGACTTTTTTTTTTGTTTTTTTTTTTTTTTTGGGGGGGGGAGGGCTGGTGTTGGGGAAAAGGTAGGAAGGTAGAAGAGAGTTGCTTCAATTTATATTCATCTACTAAGTTCTGTGATGGGATGAGAACAGACAGGGAATAGTTCAAGTTCTAGCCTCTATTAGCATTTTGGTTTGAGACAATAGTGTTCTTCTAAATTCCCAATCATTGTCCCTTGTTGAACCTTGGTTCAGTCTGCAAGGGTGGATTTGGTGTATAAGAATGAAGCTTATTTTGGAGAAAACTGCACTGGATGCTCAGCTGTCTTCCAAATATACTCCAGTCTCTTTTAGAGACACTAAGAATCTGAACACATCACTTGGCCTGCTTCAAAGTGCATATGCAGTAGGGACATCTATCCAAGGAAGCAGAATATATATAGTCTTGAGGTGTATATAGTGTACATGTGTAAGTCTCAGTGGTATCCACTGCTTTTATCCACTGATCCTTCCCCACCAAAACAAATATCTTGGCAAACTACACACAGGCATAGAGTCTCAAGGACCAAGACTTCACAGTGGGATTGTTAGTGATTCTTAGTGAGTAATTTTGCCTAAATTACTTCAGAGAATTCTGACTACTACACTCTTTGTATGACCTAAAACCTTTAAATTTTTGTACATATGCCATCTTCCACTGAACAAGCTTTTGGGACTGCCTCAGATGACCCCACTTAGCTTCTCTGGTGGCACATTTTTTCTCCATTCAGAGCTATTTAAATGTTGCTGTCAAAAGACCCTCAGTTTATTTTTTATATTAACTCCTCCACTGGCCTCCTCAAACATCAAATTCAGACTTCTTTCCTTTACTGCTAAACACCTCAGCATTTAACGTAACACTATCTATCTTGGACCTTGCTCCTTCTGGTCTTGGGCATTGCAGAGTGCTGCAGACAGCACAGAGTTCCTCCCCCAGCTGAGATTCTTAAAAAACTGATTTTCCATTGCTATGTCTGGGAAATTTCTGGATACTAGACATTAGAAAAGCTATAATCGAAAGAGAAGTTCCTACCTTGTCCCTTTATTAAACAAGAGTCAAACTCTCATGACCCAATAAAAATTCAGATACAGCAGCTATTCTAGAGAGTACCTTTGTAATTGGGCCAGCAGCGTAGTCCTGAACTTGTTAAAGTTCTAAAGTGTTTCTCATATGGCAAATAAGCAACCTGTCTACTCCCAAAAGTATTTTAAGAAATGCTGAATCCTTTTCTTAAAAGTGCCACAAAATAATAATGGGAAAACAATTAAGTCAGAGACAGTTAAGACTACCACTAAAATAAAAAGCATTGATTTAATTCATAGCTCTGAAGGCAAAGAAGTAGGGCACTAGCATACATTGTACACAAGGCTGTGTGATCTTTCTTCACCACAGGAAAGCCAAAGCTGAAAACCATGTAATTCCCTAAAAATAGTTTCAAACATTAACTGGGAGGATTAAAACATGTGTCTCACAGTTCTTTGGTTTTGAAATGTGAAATTTGGTCAATTAGATTCATGTCAAAATTCATGAGAAAAATGTCCCTGAATCAGGAAAGCAAGTTAAAGAGCTGAAGGTTGTTATTTGCTGAACAAGTGTGCTACTGTGCAGGTGATTGTGACACATGAAAAACACAATGGTTGAGAAGACACTCTGATGGAATGTGTAAATCTTAATCCTTAGATCTGGACTCCTAAAGCCTTAGAAGTCTTGGAACAGAGCGGGTAGGAAGGCTGTACCTCGGCATGGTGCAGCAGCCAGGAAGACACCTGAGCCAGCTCTAATGAGTGGCTGCATCCAGGTGATTTCAGCAAGACCTCCTGGTTATTCCCTGCTGTTTGGTACGGCCCCTCAGCTTTGGCAAGAAAACCACATTGAACACACTGTACTGCCTCAAGTGCCCAAATTAGCTGTTACACTTCCCCTTGATGCTATGCTGTCTCATGTAGGCATAATCATAACAATACATAAGCTCTGAAAATTCTTTTAAAATCAGAACATTATGAGTGGCATTGGCCAAGCACTCCCTCTGAAGTAGACATGAAGTGAAACTTTGGTGCAGTGACCTCCCTTGTTTTGTAAACAGGGGTAAGTCCTATATCCCCAGGCAGTGAGATAAAAGTGCAAAACAAGGCTTAGTGAAATCAAAGAAGTTTGAAGTAGGCCTTAAAACGTTATTCAAGAAATGTTTACAGTATCAAAATACAATATTGGTCTCTAATGACCCTGAAATTAAAGCTTACATTCTTTGTGTTGCAAAAACATAATACAGAAACAAGAAGAAATATCCTCATCAAACAAATCTTAAAAAAAAAAGCAGGCATTTTAGGAAAGGAAGTAGAAAGTCGCACAGATTTTGAAAAAATAAAAATAAAAAAATAAAAAAAAGGGCATTTTTTTTTTACCTGAATCCTGGAATTGTACAGGGCTAGAATTATGCCACATTGAAAAACATAAAAAGCATAGTAAAGTTGAGCTGCTTTTTTCAGTGATGATTTTCACCTCAAGTCAAAAGTGGTAATGGCCAGAAAGAGACCATTTCTCTTGGAAATTTTTAAATGCACTCACTTCCCTTACAGAAAGGAGAAGGGACATCTTGCTATCATCCTGTCTGAACAGTCAGGAGCAAATGAGTTTGGGAAGATTCTGCAGGATGCTGAATTAAATGAAGCACTCCCTCTAGTCTAGAAAACCCTCTTAATTTGTTTGCCTTTATGTAGCCTGCAGAGATATCTTAGTGCCAGCCTCTAATTTAACGGAAGTTTCATTCAGCCATGACTAAGATCAAGGTAATTCAATAGTATGTCTGACTACAAATGACAATTCTAAACTCTTAAGTGAGGACTTAGGTGTGTGTTTATTTATAAACACACACTTCTGACTTAACTCATCTTAAAAAAGTGTTGTAATTTTTTTTTTAAACCTCATAGGAAAAATTAAAAACTACATTCTCCAAGAGGGCACTGATTTTTTCCATACTTATAATAATATTATGGAAATTGCATTCTTCCATGATATTCATTACCTGCAAAATCAATTTTCAAGCACTGGGTTTTTTTTTAAATTCCTACAGAAAATCAGCATCTCATTGTTCCACATAGTGCTTCCTCTACTATTATTAAACAGATCAGCAGGTGCCTTCTTTAAACAAGGTATTTATCAAATCCCCTATCAATGCACAAATGCTATTTTTACAAAGTAATTTAAATAGCCATTCCCTCTAGAACTGTGAAAATTTCAGTAGTAATTCTCAGTAATTCTTGAAAGGTCTAACAAAATTTTCAATGTATGCAAGTTTTTAACATTATCCAAAAGTGAGGTGTCATTCCTGATGATTAGACACTGTGTTTAATCAATCTTTTCCAACTTAGATGCAGAATGATCAGCAGAGTATTTTGCAAACAGAAATGGATTTATACAGAGCTTGAAAAAGGAACCACTTGCTTTCCAGCCACATACACTTCAGAAATATTCCGATCATCACCTGAAATAACATGGTCAAAATTGAGATTTGCATATAAATGCAAACACTGATTTAATTAATGACAATTATGCAGTCTATAAAACCAGTTTTGGAACACATTGCTTGGAGCAACCATTTTCCTAGAACTTAGAAAGTCCATTTGGAGAGAAATAGTCAAAGCTACCACAAAATTTAAATATTAAAAATTAACTATTTTAGCAACCCATGTGTTTAAAAAAAACCCAAAAACATAGCATTCAGCTGCTGCAATAGTGTCATAGATTTTCTGTATATTCAGTAGATCCAAACCCCAAAAACACTATGTATCTGTACAGAAAATTATTTGATGCACAGTATGTGAACTGGCTTGAGAACCAGCCATCAGGAAAGCTGTTGTGACCCAGACAGCTCCGCAGAAAGGCAAAATCTCATTGCAGCATGACAGAGCCATGGCCACAGCTGGCACCAGGCACCTCAACGTCACAACACAGCAGCAGCGCAGCTCCAGTCTGGACACTGCCTGGACACACTTACAGATAATTATACACCAGTTTATATTTATTAATGTCAAATATTAATGCTAATTATTTGGGACATGTTAATGTTCATATAATATTCAAATGAACATATTTAATTACTGCAAACAAATGTATACTTACTTATGTAAAAATATATTTATTATTAACCCCAACATTAATTTAGACATTTGATGTAAGAAATGAGAATTCAACTTGAGCTGAAAATCAAAACATACCTAGATACAGGAACTTCTGGAGAGTGTCCTTTAAAAAATGGGAGAAAACAAATTCAGAAAGCAATAAGTGCTGTTCCAGATCATAATCATTTGAAGCTTGAAAGAACTGATAAAAATACTTCTAAATATTCCTAGTAACATTGAAATCAAAACTCAACATACATAATTTACTTTTTGAAAACAAGGCAAAATTTAAACTTTTGTAAAGTGCTAAGAACCAATAACTTAGCTTAAAAAGTTTAGATGTAAACTTAAAAATTATTCTCTTTACAGAACTGGAATTGTTTCCAGGCAGTCTGACCACATCTATAAATTCAAGTAACTGCTCTTAACCATCTTTTTTAGTCAGAGAAGGTCTTTGAATGAGAAGGTGTTTCCATACCATAAAACCAACACTGCTTTAATGTTAATATAAAAACTTTACTTTAATTCAAATTAGCCATCTTAAGTGCTTGCTTCGTTTTGTAACAGCAATGTAGAAAAGGCAACCTAACCTTTCTCTGGGAAAAGGCTGTCATTTTTCAGTCTGAACTCTGTTGACTAAAAATAAATTGCTTATTCTTGGTTGCCATTTGTCACTGCAAATACATAACTGTAATTGTCACCTTGGGCGAATAAAACATGCATTAAAAATATTACAAGCATTTTTGCTCATGGTGTTATGGCACTGTCACTGGGGTCAGCAAGATTCTGAAGAAAAAAAACATGGAACACCTAGGCTGAAGCACATACAGCAGAGGTGTTTGTACACCCAATTCCTGTCACCGGAATGACTCTCAAGAGACCTTTTCTGTCTGTATCATCAGCCTTCCCCACATCACTTCCATTAATGTTTTGATCATCAAGCCTATTCTGATTACCTCAAATTCATCAGCAGAGAACAAGTCAAAAGGGCTATCTGAAGCCTTCGTGTTGATTAGCAGTGCATCAAATTCTTTTCCCACCTCAAAGTTTCCAATGACATTATCCAGTCCTAGAGCTGAGGAAGAAAATAAGCTCATAAACTCATCTTCAGGACCAGCCTCCTTCCACCATGTAGAAGTACCTGGCAACTTACTTGAAATATTCATAAGACAAACAAAAATTTAGACCCAAAACAAAAAACAAATACAAAAACCAAAAACAAATTGAGTAGTATGTTGGCACCTGAGCTCTTAAGAGACTTAAGAAACAATAGGTTATATTCCAAAAACATTCAAACTCCAAATGGGGCAATGAAGTTAAGTCAGAGAAACAGTAAAGCATATAATGACACTCACCTTGCTAAGGCAGTATTAGGCTGAATTTTTAAAAAAAGTTTAAGCAATTTTGAAAGGTTATATAGACATAATGCAATAGTAATATATAGTAATATGATAATAAAAGAGGTATCCAGTGAGTAATTAGCAGGATCAAAGAATAATATGGTGTGGAAAAATAATCATAGCCAGTCTGAAGGTCTCATACCTACCTGTATGGCTTGCCTTGTGGTCTATTATTCAGCTCTATTTTTAAAAAGTTTCATTGTGCATGAAACTGCATGCCCTGAAAACCTACAAATTCATCTCCAGGGACTGGGTGCTTGCAAGTGCTTAGAATACCTAAAGAGAAACCTTTTTGCCCCTTTAGAAATAAATTAGGATCATTTAAAGTTATGGAAAGTATCTGTGAATTATTTTTTTTTCCAATACTCTGAAATGAAGTCATCAAAGAGCATAATACCTGCAAATAATTTATTTCTTTTCAGATTGCACTGATAAAGGAAATTCAGTATTGAAGTTTAAGAAGTCTTTGAAGTTTGTGAGTGGAAGAAAATCACAATATCTTAAAGACATTTAAACTCCCATAAATTCTGAAATATTTTGATTATCTACTAGTTCAACTAAAATGATCTCATGTTCCTTCAGGTTTTTGAGCATAATGCAATTTTTAGATTAAACACAAGAGGGTGATAAGTGTTTAGGAGCCTTAACAAAGCAAACTATAAAAAGAAAGAAATCACTCATTTAAATTTCTGCTCCTAAAATTTTCCCTTTCAGTATCCAGGCTACTGGAAGCTTGTAGAAGTGATTTACATTCTACACTTAAAAGTGATTCAGTAAGGATAAAGGAGTTTAAAATCAATATAAAAAATTAACACTTTGCTAAGGAAATCTAATATAGAAAAAGCACAAGAGTAGCTGGGAAGGGAAACCACATGAGTTTGGGATTTTTATAAGTCTTCCTTTCTATGTCTCAGCTAATTTATTCTCACACTTTGTGGAAAAATATATATTGCAGGAAAAAGAATACTATTTGTTCCCTGCTCATCTTCTCTATTTCCCCCATTACACTCTCGAGGAATTCAAACAGAGTTCTGAGAAGACATGATTTATGGCATTTTCACTACATCTTTTAAGCTTCCATTAATAATATCCAATGGAGCTTTTTAGCACTACAGACAGGTTACACTGAGAAGATTTGGGACCCGTGCTTTAGAAGGTAGTGAGCTCATTTCTGCTAACTGAAACAATAATACGTTTTCACTTACACGTGGATTTCCTCTCTGCCAAATCATACCAGTTCCATAATACTTGGTGTCTTCAAGCTGAGTCTCTCATAAGCTCTCAGAGATAAGTATTATACCCTACTAGCAAGCTCAGCTACTCAGGTGGCATAAAATAAGCAGGATGGCTCTTGTGACAGTGTTGGAAACAAAAAGTTTTAATAAAAGGCAAAATAAAAAAGCTCTTTACTGAGAAAAACTGAGTCAGGGAAAACTGATTCTAAGGAATTGCTTGTGTGGGACTTTTTGGTTCCTGTCCAATTAGCTATCTTTAAGTTTGAGGTGAAGTCTCCAAGGTCATATGAGGTGTCTTTTAACCAAATTGAGGAGAGAAACTTCTGGGTTTTTTACTTTTAAGGGGACAAAGGGTAACTTGTTTACTCCATCAACAGGGGGCACACTTCTACAGTACTACTACAATGTTTTAAATTGTATCTATTTTTATGTGCACACTGCTTAAAGTAAAATTGGTTCTCCACAACTGGCTAGCCCATATACTATATGATTGCATTCTGCAAATGTAACTGTGTTTTGAACAACCATAGTGGAAAGCCTGGTTTTCTGCTTTTCCCTGAGAAGTGATTTGCATGATGTTTTGATTTGCAACAAACTGCCTCACTGACAGCTCAAAAAGCACAAGCAAAATTAGAAGCTGATGACAAATAGAATGCATGATTTTACAGTAATTGCAGTTTTTCTTCTAGATGATGGCTGCTGAGAAAACAAATTTCCAGCTGATACAATAAATAGACAAGCATTTACAGCCTTATGACTAAGAAGTCTGAGGATCTTTGCAAAGCAAATATACAACTCTGAAAACAATTAAGATTTTGTTATTAAACTCTCAGCATTAATAGAGTATTCTTCTCTGAAAAGCCTAGTATGACTATGAGAAACTGAAGGATTATCCCTGCCTAACACTTAGATTTCACTCTGGCACCAGAAAATCCAGGAATCTCCCATGAAGATAGGGAGACATATAATCAAAGAGAGTTGCAGCTCTCTGTGTGCACACTAAAGAATTTTCTTCTTACCTTGGCTTCCTCCCAGAGTGGCTAGCTGAAAGGCTTCTTCAATAGTTAGTCCTGTTTCATTCACTTTATTGATCTGAAGGCTATTAGATGCCACCATTGTTTTCCTTATAGCATCAAGCATAGAAGCTGAATATCCACCTGCAACATCTAGAAGGGATCATAGCCTTAGAGTATAAGCTTTGGGTATAATTCTCTATGTAAAATTTCTATAAGTTTCAATTCAAAGTTATGAAGCAACATACATGGTAAACCCAACAAGCTCAACAGCTAAGCACTGTCTCTGAAAGCATAAATCCCAATAAAGGTGGGATTTATGCCTTCAGAGACCGTGCCTTATTCATACAGTCAGGTGAATAGAACACAACACAAAAACAGAAACCTGAAAAGGTGATGTTCAAGACCTGTTTAAGGTCACAACAGCAACAAAAAGTCTTCACTAGTTTTTAAAATTTGTTTTAAAACAGTTTTGGACCAACCCTAGATTTCAATACTCTAGACTTCCTTACTCAGGTGGAGAAAACGAAGGAGGATTAAAAATTGGAGACATGGTGATTTTTAAATATGAACAGGTGAATGTATCTCCCAAAGGTTTCCAGAAGAAATCACTTTCAGAGCAAACTACTAACCTGTGCCAAGACCAAGCTTCACATTGTGTTTGAGAACCTTTTGCACATTTAAGACACCACTGCGCATCCTGGATTGGAAGAAGAAACACATTCTGTGTGCTACATGCAGAAGAAGTTCAGAAAAAGCAGGGCTGTGGAGCCATTATATGACAAAGACTCTCCCTTAATGTGTACAAGATTTGTTTTTTTACTTATTCTGTCTGCGTGCCGTGCAGTATCTCATGTCTGCTCAATAGAAAGAAGACTTTATAGTCCATTTCCCCAAAACATTAGCAGACTTCAGGGAGAAGGGAGATGCCACTGACAGAACAGTCAAAAAATAATTTTTTAGAAAATAAATATTTATATAGATATAGATATAGATGCAATAACTAAACTGAAGGACCACAAATCGGTTCAGAGCATTCTAGGCAGAAGTGGATAATGAATGGTCATGTTCAATCCAATATGTCATTTATGGTGCAATGACTATAGCATAGCTTTGCAATGGTAACATCAACTCAGGGTACTACATAAACCACACCTTTATTTAATTATACGCTATTCCTTTTTATTTTTAACTTACGAAAAGTTAGAATTGGGGCAATGTGAAATTGCAGCTCCACGAAGACTAAAAATTTTCAGCTCTTCTTCAGAAAGATGACAGCCATGTGCCATCACAGTCTAAAGAAAAAGAGAATCACGATTTACTCAACATTTAATTTACTTTTGTGGCTGTGGGGTTTGATGCACTGCTTTAAATAGTCAAAAAGGACACTTTACCATTTAAAGAAATTAATGCACTTCTTGAATTAAGCTCTTAAAACCCACAAGGGAAAAACTGATTAATGTCAGTGTGCATGACATATCATTCCTTCAGCTTTTTTGCATTTTTTAAGTATAAGAATACAGGGTACTTGCAGCGATTGCAGTGACTGCTGTGAACAAAGACAAAAGCGAGAACTTCCCAGTTGTCCTAGCAATGTAGTAAGCTTATAATTTATATTTTGTAGTTAACACAGAGATTAAGTACTGGAGCTAGGAATACATCAGATAAAATGGAAAATGTATGTACTCTTAGCATGTTTCCTATTAGCTATCTAAAGGTTTGCACCAGGGAAAGAGAGATTAAATATTCTTTATGTAAAATATAATCTAATTTTTAATGCAACTGATAAATTATTTTTACTTTTTATCTGACGTAACTGACTTTAAAAATAAGTTCACAAGAAAAACATAGAAGTATATGATAGGATAATCTAATAATGAATAAACCAATTATTCCCATACAGATCTAACTGGTGTTACCTCATATGCCAAATGCCCAGTGAAAGAGAGGAGCAAGAGCTCTGTTAGATCTTGCAATCTGCACATAGAATTAAGTATGGCACAGAGACTGCTTCCACTGAGCATCTCCTAATGGCACTGTACCCCTCCCATCTCTACTCATCAGGCTCACTGTAGCTGAAAACAAAAGGAGAATAGCCACATCTTCAGATAAGGACCTACATATGGTAGCTACTGAAGCATATCCCTGCCAATCTGTACTGTTTTTAAAAGGAAAGAAATATTTCAGCAGTAGCTCTAAAAAAAAATCCCTGCTTTTAAAACACTTTAAAAAAATTGATTTGGTGTCATAGTTTGAGTTAATGGGGAGACAATCTCTGAGGTTCTGCTGCTATGCTTGCATTTAATAGAATCCTTTCCCATATATCCAGAAGACTCCAGTAATCATGATTTTTCATAACCATTTTTCCACTTGTGTGCATACAAGTCACAGAATTAAGACCTGTGCTTTTGCAGCACAAATATGCTCTTTAGAACACTTGCACACCAAATCAACAAAAGACCATGTAAGAAAACAAAGGTTAATTCTGTGTATATACTTCTGTAGTCTATATTGGTTTCTCAGCAAAAAAGACAGTAAACAACGAGTAATTTACTGGGATAAAATTTCAAACACAGAAATGAGAGCTCAACAGCTAATTTCTAGGGAGTTTACACCTGCCCCTTGTGCATCTGAAAATTCTCTCACAAATTTTTAGATTAACTTGACTGATGACTCTGTAGTTGGGTTGTTCATATTCACTTTTGCATTGGCAGTCCACTGTCTAATTAGCTGTGCCCTGGATCTCCAGCCTGTAATTACTGTGGGCAGGTATATTACATTTATCTCAACAGCATAAAGCTGTAATGAATTTCAGTTCTTTGGGCTGGTGTGCCTCTCAAAGCTTGGTAAAATAAGCTGGTAAAAGAGGTGACAGTGCTTTTGGATAGTCAGAGCAGTAAAGTGCACCTGTCTGCAAGAGAGGTTGATGTTTAGAATTCAGCTTCTAAAGTGCTGCTTCTCCATAGGAAGAAATGAAGCTGATCCTAACATAACACCACAGAAGAAGTCTTCAGGCAAACTGCAAAACTGGATAACATCCTTAGAATATAAGGATAACTAAGTACTGTCCAAGAATTACCAGTTCCTACAATACCAATTTTATCTAGGTTCCTTCTAATCCCACTGCCCTAATTCTCTTTGGAGCCTTTAGAAAATAAATTAGGGAGCATAACGTATGTTTATATTTCACCTCCTCTAAAATACTTAGGAACAATGTGGCCGTGTTTAAAGATCCAACACCTCAACACAGGACATAAAACAAATTTACTTTTCCCCAGATGTCACTGACAATGACAGAACAATAGAAAGCATCACAATTGCTACATGGATTAATATAAATTATATTTGGGAAGTTTTTATGTGGCTACCTTGCTGTTTAGAAGCTTGTTTTTATCATACAGTTCAGTGTAATTCTGGTAGGCAGGAAACATGTTCTCCACAACTTTGATTTCTTCCTCAGTCTCACTTATGTGACTCTGCAACAAGAAAATGCATAGAGTGAGTCCTTTAAACAGCATTGAAACTGCAATTATGACTTTCTGAGCAATCCACTAGTCCTAAATAAATATTCATAAAAAATAATGCTAGTAAAGCCTATAGTTCGATCTAGTCCCTGCATCTCTTTTTTTCATCAAACCTGAATATGCTTTTCTAGGACCTAAAGAAGTAGCTTCATTTGTTCCTTAAAGGAACAAAGTGATATGAAGTAGTACATATATCCATCCCAGTAATGTGGTGACACAATGGACCCAATTCCAGTTTTAGGAAGATGTTAAAATAATAGATAAAATAATACACGATGTTATTGTGAGGTGAAAGAGAGAACAAGACTACAACAGAGTGGATGCTGAGATCAGGGCAGCAGATATGTATCTCCTCCCAAAGGTATCATTAGATGCTCACTATGCTGTCTGTCCACACCACTAAAATGGCACACAGAGCTCTCAGAGCTTACCTGCACGTGGAGATCATGGGCTAATGCTAAATCCCCGAGAGCATTCAGCAAGTCCTCTGTGCAGGAGGGGCCAAAGCGGGGGGTTATTATAGGCTGTACCCTGGGATACTGAAAACAGAAGATGGGGTTTGTATTCTACATATATATTTCAATAACCATAACTAAGGTTAGCATTTACATGGAAATTTCAGTAAACATAATTAAGGTTAGCATTTACATGGCAATTACATTTTGTCTTCATTGCTTACTGCAGCCTTGCCAACTCAAATTAAGCTGTATGGTCATTTCCTTGCTTCCATTAGACATCTCATTGCAGAAACAGAGAAGGAAAGTGGGGGTTTCTTACAATTTTAATGATATTTATTAAAGAAATTGTTTTTTTTAGAACTTTCATCAAGTTACTGTAATTTTACCAGTCTTCAGTAGCACTGGATACTTTTTCCTATTTGCTGACAGTCTAAATGCATAATGAGAAATAAGTCAGTTGAATGACCAGATTATTTTCAGACACACTTGTGTGACCATTGAAGATATAATGAAGCAAAACTGCAAGCTTCTATAAAACCAAAGCCATTTTCTTGTTCAATCTCTTTATTCATATCAGTGACAAACCCCTAAACTCCTTAGATACGAAGAATAGTTGTATAATCAGACATGCTATACTGCAGGAAACAGTGGAGAAGACACTAAGAACTACAGAGGTTTACACCTTGAGTCTCTAGAACAAAATTTTCCTAAAAAAATAGTCAGCAGGATTACAATTCTGTCACCAGTCAGAGGCAAGCATTTAGTACAAGCCAGTAAGTGATAACTTGGACTGTAGTTCCTTGTATTATCTCCCAGAAAAAAGGAACTCAGGTCTTTGCAAATTAGCCAGCTTACTCAAGTCACACATAGTTAAGCCATTATTCTAGTGATACATATGGTTTAGGCATTAAACTCCAGGCAGCTGCTCTAGAATATTTTGAAGGGGGATGTCAAAAGAAGCCACTGAAAACCAAAGGCTGATAAGAAAAATACAACTGTGTATAATTTTGGAGTCTAAACTTCTATCTTCACCACAGGAGTGTAAGCATGAATATCTTTAGAAACACACTTTAAGACATGCACCCAAACCACTAATTTTATAGTGGATTAGTGACTTTACTGAAAAAAACAATGATTTCTGCTGGTGAGAATTCCTTCAATTAGTCTGATGCTAGCCACTGGAGTCTTTTGCTAGCTCTTTCAGAACACCAGCAACAGGAGGTGTACAGAACAACTCCAGGATTAATTCACCAACAGCTGAACTTCAGAGCTGCAGCTCTACAGTGGAGTTAACTTTACCAGCATCGGGGAGAAAAGTAAAAGAGTTAAAGGATGTTCTCTATCTCATCTACCAACAGCCCTTCATTCCAGGGATTTAGAAGTGAAAGAGAACCAAACCCTGCCTCCAGGGGTTTATAGACACCCCAAAACTGGTGGGTGGGCACAAACAGGCAGCCAATGGGATAACCTTAGGGGAGGAGCAAGGAGTATGGTTTACAGCACCAGCTCCAATGAGAGCAAAGGGGAGGAGAAATAGGTGTGGTTTACAGAACCAGCTCCAATGAGAGCAAAGGGGAGGAGAAAGGGGTGTGGTTTACAGAGCCAGCTCCAATGAGAGCAAAGGGGAGGAGAAATCAGTGTTGTTTACAGAACCAGCTCCAATGAGAGCAAAGGGGAGGAGAAAGGGGTGTGGTTTATAGCAGGGTGGATACAACCTAGGGAGAAACCAACTCGGAACATAGGGAGGGATTTGGAAACCATTACCAGAGAACCCAGATAAAACTGAAAGTTCGGGTAGCACAAAGACTAACCGCAACATTAATCTGTCTCCTTCTATACTACAAAATGATAAATTGAATTCCACCTGTCTTAACAAGAAATTGTCCTTTCTAGGAAGCCAGGCTCTTCAAACTCTGTAGAGAAACAGAACATTGCTCTGCTCTCAGCACAGAACACTGATTTTAGACTGTTAGTACATTTCTCAACATGACTAGAAGAACATTTTCCAAAGTGATTATATATATCTATTACACACAAATATGTATATTTATTGATTTGTCACTAAGACAACAGATTTGGATAGTAGGAGTAATTTTTCATGTGCTCAAGCAGCATCTTCTGAATACAGAAGTGAATTCAATAAAGAACACTACTTACTTTCTTTTCCAGTAGTTCTCTAACAAACCTGAAAAAGGGTAGGAATAAAGTTGCTATAAATCTGTTCTCTATGTTATAAATTCTGAAAAATATAAAAAATATATGCTGGATACCCTGTTAAACATTTCACACAGATCAATTTTTTCACAAAATGTTGAGCCAGATTTTCAGATGAAATAAAAAAAGGGAACACAATGAAGTCAGCAGAGTGACACCAAATTATGCTGAACATGCAGACTATTGTTTTTTCATTGCAATACTTTGCATAAGACAAGCAGTAATTATTCTGAATTCTCCATGAAAACCAAACACATGCTACATTAAATGAATTGCAAACTTATAACCTACAGATGCAATATTATAACCTATTATAATATTATAACCTACAGATGCAATATTGAAGAAAAAACAAACCAAACTTAAATGTGTTTGTCCATGAATTCAAGTTGCACTGTTTAAACCTTTTCAAATTCAAATTTTAAAAGATTCAGCAATATTTTTTATCTTACAGTAGTTGCATATGTCCTCATTCACTTAAAGAACCCTTGATTTTTTGGAAATGCTTATATTAATGTTAGCGTATAGACAATCTACTTTCCGGAAAATAAATGTTAACTTCTTCTGTTAACTAAAATGCTACTTCAGACCTCTACAAAAAAACCCAGGCCGTCACTACAAATAATGTAGATGAACAAAGTAAACTTTCTCCCACTTTGGAAGGAGGGAATTCTTTGAAAGCCCATTTGTTCAATGTAAGTGACATGTGAATTACAGTTTGAGATGCATTCTGTATAGGATCTCTGTGCATTTTTATGTCATAGTTCATAGTAACAGAACTGTATAATTTTGCTAAAAACACATGTTGTATCAATTTTTTCAAATGTCTTCAGAGGGAAAAGAAAATTATGCTAGAGGCTACATTCACAGTTCTGAAGCTCACACTAGATCACCAGATGGAAATGAGAAGCCTGAGTTTGACTTAAGCAATGACCAAAGGAGTTTGAGCCACCATTGTCTAACATGGAGAGCTAAAATGCCAGGTGAATTAGCTATCATCTGCCTGTTTCTCTCTTACCTGATATAATAAAATATGCACTTGAAATGAAATGCAATGCCCAGCTGACAAGACAAAATTTCAATGTGGCTGTTTTCATTCTTTTTCACATTCTTTGAACTGCATGAGATGTTTCAAAACTGATGAAATGTGATGAAATATGTTTTGCAAATATAGCCAACTCACTTCTCTATGAGGAAAGAAACTCAACTACAAATCACTGTCTTCTGAGGCAGAACAGACTTGAACATAGGTTCTCATCTTTGCAGCTGACTATAACTAATAGTACCATAAATGGTAATCTAGAGTTCAATTCCCTAACTTTTTATTAAATCCTCTTTGACAAAGAACAATAGATTCAAATTCTTGACAAATTTAAATCTAATCTATGAAGTACTTGGAACTGTATCATATTTCCATGCCTACAATATAAATATTTCTGAATGTTAGTTCTAAGTAACTGAAATGAGTGTAGTCCATTTTCTGACAGTGTGATGGATCACATTTCTTAGATTCTTAAAAAACCAACAGAACATGTTGGGTTTTTAAGCAACAAAAACCCAAATAATGTTACCCTCTTCATGAAACAGCAATTGTATTGCTGTGATTCAGGTAAGTACTCCAGATTCATGCCAAGTTCACAGCCTTATTCCCTAGACAGCTTGAGAGTACTTGTGGCAACCTCTCATCCAAAGTTGAGAAATATTTCTTATTACACAATCAAAAAGGAATGAGTTGGAGGCACAAGATATGTATTTAAAATAAAGCTATTTAGGTCCTTCTGAAGCTTTTAAAACCATCAGAACTGGAAGTTCTCCTTCTTTCAGGCCCATTTGGCAGGACTTGCACCATAATATGGAAGCTGGGGATTTACACAGAAGGAAACAAATGTTAGAAGAGTGAAGGTTAACTAATACGGCATGTTTTATAAATTTCTTTAAACATAAACACCATTAGAAATACATGACCATTTCTAACTTTTATTGTCACACCTTTAGGCTGATTTGTAAAAAACAAGGTATCAACCTCACACAAGTGCCAAAAGATATTTATATTACTCTTAGGGGTTTTCTCTTTCAGCATGATATCTGAAAAATTTAGGTAAGTAAATAGATAGTCCCATGAGAACAGTCTGCTTAACTGTTTTCTGAGCATGGGTGTGAAACACAAGAGAAACATGATAGTAAGCTGCCATAATCCAGTTTTGGCTCTCCTCTGCTAAAAACATTGCCTTCATTTGATTCTCCTTTGCTCTTTCAGCTTCATGTTGGGGTATTTTGACTGGTGATATGATGGAAAAGAGATGCTTAAAATGGGGTATAAGAAAGCTGAGTTCTACAGCTTGAATAAAGCCTTAGCCTAAATGGTGGAAGGAAATAACTTAGAAGTTAATGGGGACAAAGGAACTGGCTGCCACCTCACCACTGTATGTCAGGTCCCATGACCTCCACACACACAGCTTTGAAAGGGAAAAGAGGCAGCAGAAAACACACATATCCTCCCAAACCCTAAATCTGTGGTTTCTCCCTCTCTTTGGAAAAGCCAGAGAGATGCTACTTGGGCTGTGCAGCAACTTTTGCAGGAATTTCCAGGATTTGCAGGAATTGCCAGGACTGTAGGGGACAATATTGTTGGAAGAAAAAAACTGTTGCTAATAAATTCACACCTGTAAGCTTTTAGACAGATTCACATTCACTTTTCAGATGTATGAAAAATCTTATTTTAAAAGGTTATGCCGTCAATTTTATCATTTTACCTTTCTGTCTCTTGGACAGAGTCAGCAGTAATCTCTCTGTATTGTGGCACACTGTCATTCACATCCATGCAGACTTTCCCAACAAATGCTCGTTGACCAAATTTATCTGTTGAGATGCATTAGAATATAAATCTCAAAATCACTGGTTCTCAGTAACAATTACCAAAGCTTGTACTGAAATAAAAAGAATGAAGTCCACCCCACCCAGCTCCATTTAGAATGATCAGAATGTATGTTTCTGTCTTGTCTCTAAGTTATGATCATTCATGTGACTTTTAAGGATAAAAAGAAAAGATGAAATAAGGAAACAAACAACATTAAATAGGAGCTGTCTTCCACAATAATGCTCATCCTTATAGATAAGAACTAGATTACTATAGTTTAACTATAACCAGAATTCTTGGTAGTCTATGAAGACAGCTGTGACATAAAAGATGAGAAATATTCATCAAAGTACAGTAGCTGTAGTAGATGGCTACCTGAAGATGAGAGGCATAAAGATCTCAGCAAACCATCTCTCCTTTTGCTAACAGGCAAAGATTGCTCACAGGCCTCCCCACATGCAGGTAGAGGGAGAAATTTCCAGAACTATTTTAGCCTCTTTCTTGAGATTTATCCATGCTAGATTAATAAATCAGGATTCATGTGTAAAACGTGTATAATATCCAATTCTAGGGTGTCAAATGTGTTTTTAATTCAGATCTCTTTGTCTTCTTTAACTGTGTGAGTGGTTTAACGTAATGGCTTCAAAATTTTCCTAATAAATCAGAAAGACTAGCTAATTTTTGATTAAATTTGAGGTTCTTATTAAATTTCTCTGCATTATGAGCTGTCTGAGCCTTGAGAAATCCTGCAAGAACAACAATAATTTCAAACAGCAGGCATTTGCAGCTATGAACAGAAGAGAAGGATAAGATTCTGATACAGCTTCCACTTCTCTGATTTCAGAGGGTGTGTGAGGTTTTTTTATATTGATTATCAGATGAAATCTCAGTGTATCAGGAAATTAATGCACTGACTGGTCCTCCTGTCATTCAGTTCTTTTAAAACTCAGAAAACAAAAGGTTAGAAAAAGCAGAGAGCTGCAGCTGAAGAACAAGTCCAACAGACTTAATTCAAGCTCAGCCAGCAGTAGATTTGAGAATGAGGAGAGAAGGAGTAGCAACAATTTAGGATAGAGCTATTAAGTGAACATGGGTAACAGGTGGGGTTTGGGGACACAGTGTGACAGGTACAATGAATAAAAAACAAATTAGGAGAAACACAGATCCCTAGCTAGCCTAAACTCCTAACCATTGTTTCCTTCAACTAACAGCCCACACAATCCTTCAAAATTCACTGTTAGACTTACCTATAATTTCAGCAAGAAGAAGGGCAGTATCTGTGTGAATTGTTGCAAAGTAGCAAGCTGTAGTTGTACCATTCTTTAGTGTTCGTCTCTAAAAAAAGAAATCAGTTTCAACTGTCTGGGAAAAAAAACCAGTGAATCTGGCAAAATGCAGAACAGGAAGTCTCATTTCAAGCTGCAAGAACATTTAGTTATTGTGAAATTTTGCAGTGAAGTGGGAAGATAAAAATATAGATTTTTAATTTCATAAAAGCTTTTTTAAGTCTGAGGGTTAATAAATACAAAAAACTCCTCACAAATTTTTTGCAATGGCTAAACCCATAGAAACCAGTCTCTATTCCTTTCCCCAAACTAGAAATGTTCCAACTTATATTTAGAAATACAAACAACTAGTAATTTTTTATTATTTCCTAGTTATGAAATGTTCTCAAATTTTCATGGTGAAGTACTGTTTTTCCAGTGTCAGCAAAGCAAGGCTTTTGGGGAACATGGTGGTTTTCTTTTAGCAACCCGATCTAGCTGGAAAAACAAGTCATGTTTTCATGTATCAAAAACCTTTGTTGTCCCCAAATACCAAATATCAAACTTAACTGTAAAAGTAAACTGAGCAAAACTGCTCAGACTATGAGATAATTATTTCTCTAATATACAATTTGAAAGGAAATCCCTACATTACTTTTGGGGAACCTAATAGTAAATTACCAGGTATTTTAGTTACATTAATTCATGATGAAATTTGTAGCTTATCTTGTCCTTGGGACTGATGCAAACTATGTTGACCACTTATCCGACATACAGGCCTTCACTATATTTTTGGGTTCTGGTTGTCTAGTTATTTGAGAATTTTTTTTTTTTTTTTAATGAGATAAAAGGTGGTACATCCCACACAATGTTTGGAGGAAGGCTAGAGTTAATTATTTGACAAACATGAAGCCAAGCTCCGTGTTTTCCTTACGATACTCAAATGAAAATTTTTTTAGGTTCCAAAAATGTCTCAAAAATAGCAATGTCATTACAGAGACAAGTTACTTTGTCTTTCCTAGCTTTTAAAATTCAGAATTTTCTACTTCTGAAATCCTAACAACATTGTTAAAGTAAATCTAAAAACATCCTGTTTCCAAATCATCAGCATGAAGAGGAGGTTCCAGCTAAAACCAGGAAAATTTCAAATAAATTGTTTCTTTTGCTGTGTATAGAAGGTGTTTGTTGGAAAAAGGATTTTGATTTGAAAAAATCCACTGTTTTTTCATTACAACTTCATAAGCACAATGATACTTATAAAAAATAACTGCTCCATGAAAGTTTAGTTCTGTTTCTAACAGATGAAGGTTATAATTGGCCCCATCAAACACTGCAGAGTGACTGGTATTCTGTATCTTTTGTGGGTGAAGACATTTTTCTTGACTTTTTCACATGGGGAGAGCCTAACTGGGGTGTCCAGGCTCTGACAACTAACTTCCACCTCTCTCTGGCAGCTCTTTTCCAGATGATGCTGTGACACACCTTGCAGGGTGAGGTCTCTAGATGTGCCGGGGTCATGCAGCCTGCACTGTAACTGCACTGTGTTGGGCACACACCTCAAATGTGAGCTCACCTCTAAGTTTTAAGCACTTGAAGGCATGTGTGCTTGTCACTAGAGCTTAAGACCAAGTTGCTCCTGCATGCTTTTATCATGGCAGATGGCAGAAAATAATTTCTTTTAAAATTTGTGTGTCAAGGAACAGCATAACTATTTATTTCAGATTTGTTATGTTATTATGCTGACAACAGATGCTGTCAGGGTAATAGACAAATGGAAGGCAAATTGCACAGGCCAAATAATTTAATCTGTTGAAGATATTTCAGTCCACATATTAAAGGCTAAATTTGTTATGGGACAGAACTAGTACACTGCAATATGACCTAGCTGCTTGTTGCTCATCCAGTGGATTTTAAAGACTTTATAATGCTCAGAACCATCTAGCTCAAACACAGTCTTTCTTTGACCCACAATACCACTGAGAGACTCCTTCTAAAGACCCTGCAGTGAAAGACATTCTCACTATAAAAACCTCAGAAGTAGCAATCTCTTCCTTTACTACACCAGAAACATGCCAGATTTGTCATCTATCAAAAGTATTTTCTCTTTCATGTGGTTTTTGCCGATGGTGAGTTTATAAAAGAGTATTTTTGTGCAAGAAAGGAAATATCTCCTGATTTTTTTATTCACTATACTTGGTTATTGCTGCATTGAAGTTGTCTGCACCTGCTGGCTGTACTAATTCTGAGAGTAAATTAGTTGTTGTAGATTAGTAGTTGGTCACTATATTCAGAAAAGGTGATAAACAGTTCACTGTTAACCTTGTGATTAAATCAATTCTATTGCCAGCAGCAACAGAACAAGACTGTAACTAGTAACAGAAAATCTTGACTAGCAACAGTGGCTATCTTCGCTTTATCTGGTTTCCATGACAGTAAAACATTCTCTACTGTTTCTGCTGACCTTCTGAGAACATGCCTATATTACACAAAATTAATATCGTCAAGTAGGCAAATGTCAATGCAGGACTTACAACAACTCTGGTGTACACTTCTTCTGCAAAACCACTGTCCTGGTACTTGGCTTCTGTTGGGAATGTATAGGCAGTCAACCACTGCAAAAGAGTCAGGTCTACTCTTGTACCAGTAAATGAATACTGAGGAGCATGAATATGTGTATCAACCAATCCTGGCATGAAGAATTCACTAAGGAAAGAAAATAAAATTGCAATAATCCAAAATGCCTCAAAATTATCCACAGTAATTAGTTTTGTTTTAAAGAGTATACTTGATTAAAATCCACCAGAATAAATGACAAGTACAGATTAATCTGTCTTTTCCAGCATCAGGCTATTAATTCCTGCTGTACCTCTACCCATACCCATATTTTGGTATGAAGCAGATGAGTAATATCATTTACACTGCAAAATACATATATTTAACTGTGAGGAAAACAGTATAAGAGCATGATTGATCTAATTTTCTCTAATATTGACCCATCCTAAATGCCAACCAACAAACAAAGGGAACTGATTTCACAGTAACTAAAATTACTCCACTATAGAATCCACCTGAAAAAGAGATTTGTACACAGTCTTGTTTTCTACTATGAAGATATATGGAATGCCTCTAGCTTCCAGACCATTATATTTACAAAATGTGACTTTTTATATGTGACTTTCTAGTTTTCTTCTACATTATTTATATGTCTATATAGATATATAAAATCAATTAATTTCAAGGCTTAGTGGAAGAACAGACAGTGTCTGAAAATGCAAACACCGACACTGGTGAAAAAAGCTCTGCTCAATATCTTGACAGGAAAGGCATATTTACAATGTAATTGTAAAACTATATGTTGTCATGTAATGTTCATGCAATAACAGGAATGAATATATCAACATTACTAGAAAGTTGCTATGGCTATTTTGTTTTGTGCTGAAACTCTTTACTGCATAACATTTCTCTCACTCCTCTTCCCGTCTCCCTGACTACTGAATGAACTGAATTTTGTCTCTTTTTAACTCCCCTTCTTTCTGTTTTCTTTCAGACTATAAATGCTGAAAATCTTCTTCAGTCTGATTCATATTCACAGCACCTTCCAATTTCCTCAGGCTATTTCAAGTGAAGAAAATATCTGATTACTCATATATACTGTATGATTAGCCTTTCATAAAAGCATAAAAGTTTTTTAACAATTGATTACTAGAGGGTAGTTGCAGTTCTCAATTATAAGCCACAAATCATTTACAGTTTGCTACTACTACATGCATAGTCCAAAACTTTTTCACTTCACCATAAAGTTGGAGGATTTCACTGGATGAAGACAAAGGAAATGCTCTAGCTGCAGTATAGTGAGAAATCAAAAGCTCTATGTTTAGAGGGTTTAAGTCTTCTAATTGTATTGATTTTTATTATGCAATGGGTCAAAGTCCAAGCAAACGAGTTTCATATCTGCAGTATCAGTGTTACCTACATTTAGTACATCTAAACTTACATGTTAGGCACAGCCCACGGCTAACAAAATGGATATAAAATGTAATCTCAAGAAAGAATGGCACTTAGTTCTGTGAGTACGGAAATGATCATGCCTGAAAATTAAATATGGCATTTTGTTCTGTGCAGCATACATCAGCCAGCACAATCCAGCCATATCTGCAATCCCAAACCAAGGAATGCAAAAAGAACATGGACTACCCATCCTCTGAGTTGCATCCAAAACACAGGCACCTTTGGGTAAAGAGCTCTCACTGCTCTAAAATGGAATTTTGGCCATTAAATGTAAAGGCATCATAGGTTTAATGTGCTCCCTATCAAAATGTATTCCAAAAACTCACTTTACTTCACTCAAAGAATAAACTGCGTTTGCTGTAGCTAATCTTAACAAAACACATACTGTTTACTCAGTTGTCTTATGTCAGATGTTTTGAACCCCCATGTCTTGGCCAGTTGCTCTAGCTGATCCATTTGTTCCACAAACACAATCTAAAAAAAAAAAAAAGAAAACATAGTTAAGTACCTTAACTAGTTAAGAAAACATAGTTAAGTACTTCACCTCAGCTTTAGGTGAAGGCAAAACAAGTTATATCTTAAAACCAATTTTACACACTTGCTACAGAGATGTTAGGTTTGCATTGAGACACTTGTTCTTCCTGACTATCAAGCATGATTTTGAAATACCTTCTCATAATCCAGTGAATAACTGCACCCACCTTGTAATTTGTCATAAAACAATTAATTCCTTCTCAGGTAACACACAGGCAGAACAACATAGACCTTAGTGTCCCGTAATGTAATATCATGCTAGCAGTACAGTCACTTGTGAAGAGGTGTATAACAGCCTTACAGGAATGCAGGTAGAGTATTCACAATCAGAGGGCTCAAATTACCTGCTTTGCCTATGACTGACTGACATCAAGCTAAGTATTTCCTAATTTTCTGCTTGTGTTGGGCTTTTTAATTTTTTTCAATGCCTACAATGAGAAAATAAATTGATGGGGAAAATGTAGATAATATTTTCATTTTACAGAATGGACCAAAAGAATGCTGAAATCTTTGTTTATTTCAAAATCAAACCCTACAATCTGGAGCCAAAAGCAACCCCATTTGACTCCTAGAGAACAATAACTCTACTTATGATGAGTTGCTGTTGCCTAGTCAGAATTTTAGTACATTTCCTATTTATTTTTAAATTCCATGGTATTTTAATCTACAAGATGACTCTCAACTCTTTGATTCTCAGGTCTATCACTAATAGGTATGACACCTCCCCAGGAAAAGAGACTGTGGAGCCTAGGAACTGCAATGCCCACTAGACATCCATGTGGGATCCAAGTTTTCTCAACACTTGACAATTTAGAGGACTTGAAAGTCTCCCCTGGCCAAAGGCTGCCTATCTGAGCTTACAGAAATTCCTGCCTCTAACCACATCCTCTGCCAGAAACTAATTAATCATCTTCTAACGCCCTTGGTGTAAGAGTTTGTTCCCCTAAATTCAAGGGAATATTCTTCCTGCTACCACTATCCTTCTGCTCCTGGGATGATGTCCACACTGAGGGCCTGTATCACCCTCATGACAGCAGTTTCTAGGGCATCAGTTAAAAAGAAAAACAAAACCACATTTAAAAAGGCAAGACTTAGTACTTGTAAAATGGGAATAGGAAGAACTTAGGAGGAAGAGCAAGAGGACTGAGAAAAAGCATTGTTTAGCACTTATTTGTATGCCTTTTTAATGTGTATGCTTCTTTTGCATAGAAATGTACCACTTTCTGTTTTTTCCATAGACAAAAATAAGCAAAGCTGCTAAACTGTAAATGCTGCTAAACTGTAGACAAAAAGTTATCGGCTACCTAGTCATTTAAATTAATAATGGCTGGTATGATTCATATTGTTAAAAGAGCAAATGTTTTACATTTTCAGTCAGAAAAAATTTTAAAATAATATTTTAATATTATTTTAATACCACACTAGCAAATTTTAATACCACACTAGCAAAAATTGTAAGATTTCAGTATTAATAGTTGACAGAAACAGTATTGTTCTTCATCCAAAGAGGAATACATCCAACTTAACTGCAGAAGGCTTGGAATACAGACCTACTGAAATATCTGATGTGCAATAATGAAAATGTCATTCAGATATTGAAGTAAAAATGCATGCAGAATGAGCAATGTTGGAGCTGCTCAGGGGGAGCAGGATGAAGAGGGAGGGAAACAGAGAGAGAGAAAAGCATGAAACACCAGATGACAAATTCTGGAAAGAGGCGTTGCCATGGAAAAGCAGTGGCTGTTATGTACTCTTAGGGTGCAGAAAAATAAAACACCTAAATCATGGAAAAATGAAGAAAATATGTTTCAAGGAAGCTGGATACATGAAATCAATTCTCAACTTGACACCTGGTCTATTATGATTGAATTAGACTATGGGTAAATCAACAAGACATCTACATTTTTTTCAAACAAACTTCCCAATTGAATTCCTTAGTCAGCCAAGAGTTGCTCCCCATTGCTTTAGGATGCATTTCTATTGCTGAATGCTTTAAGCTCTCGTCGATCCTATGCTTGGATATTTGTTCCAGTATTTGCTTGTGCACTCAAGGGAACCAACTGGGTGCCCAGCTCTTTAAATTTGTTCTGCACCTTAATGCTGTAGAAGCAAGAAGAAACTCCACAGCAGAGTCACTACAGAGTCAAGAGAAATGCACAAGACTAAGAACTTCAGCTTTAAAGAAGTCGAGAAGAATAACTGACACCTTGGGAAAGGTATATCACAAAACCCAGAATTACTGGCTGCTAACCCCATTGTACAAACACTTCCATAAATTCTCATGTTTTATTCATGTAATGGGGCTAAACATCCAAAGATCAGGGGTTTTGTATACCAAGTGATCCCAAAGCTCTTCCATTGAAGCATAGCTGGTCAACTAAACTGCATCAACCCTGATGTAGCAAACCCCCAGTGACTTCAAGCACCACAGCACAAATATTTCACTAACAAGAAAATGGAAAGTGAATGATACTGGCTGAAGGAACATGGTTTGTTTGTATCCAACAGTGCCTGGCTATGACATTCAGAGGAGAACTTGAGAAGGAGTCTATCCCTCTTTCCCCTCACACATATTCTCCTCCCTCCCTGTTCCCACAGTTATTAAATGACTTTTGCAATTCAAGACATGATGTCTATTATTTGTCTAGTTCCCAAAACTGGAAGCTAAATGAGAGGTAACACTTGGTAGATGCAGCTGCTAAAGGAACTGCCCAGCCTGCTGAGAAAGGGGAAGCAATGAACTCCAGATGGATGGAGTCCTTCCTCCTTGTACAGCTGACACGTCTACTCACTGTCCCAACTGGCTTAAATCAAACCTTATGCTTAAAATCGTATTTCACAACTCTTGCTCTTTTCGTGACTTGCACAAGGGCTTCTAGCTTAATTTTTTTTTTCTACTTACTTAATATTCTACTCACCTAGGATAATTACACCAACATTTCAATAACAACTCGTATTTTGCACCTATGTCTCTTTTCTTCACCCTGAGGAATGCTGGTCTTTCTCTTTGCTTTTCCTCAAGGGAGACTCTACACTGCTTTGCAAAACACTCAGTTAAACATGGTCCTTACTTCGCTAACTTGATGATAAATTTGGATTTTATATCCAAAAGCAATGCTTTTCTTCATAAAACATAATTTTCTTCTGGGGCAAAGCAGAGAGATGACATTTTACATCCCTTGGAGGACATGCAGGGACTCACACTGCAAAACAGAACCCGGTTGCTCATACAAGCCTTGACACACAGTGTCAGAGACCATGCAAAATTTTTCCACGTTGGAGTCAGCAACATGAGGCAAAAGAAGGATACCTGTTTAGTTAAATTTACGTCTTTGGGAGGAAAACAGAAGCAATTTTGGTGTAAATTTGAAAAATAAAGGTAAGTAATTTTCTAACCACTATGTCTTTCTTGAAAAGCCAACTCTTCTGTGATTCCAGTGGTTGTTCTGCATGAGGTTACATTATGAATAATAGGGAGAAAAGAGACCATATGGGATACTCACCGTATCAGCCCCTGGAATATTAAAATGTCAGAATATGTAATAAAAAGAGAATGAAATAGAAGTGCTCGTCACTGTATTCTGGTAGGAATTTCATTTTAGGAAGATAGTGTTTTAATGGATCAAAAATTAAAAAAAAAAAAAACTTCTGCCAATTTATGCAAGGAAAACAGTATACTGTGAATCCTTGTTCCCTAGGAAAAGGAGAGAGTAAGTGAGAGCACAGATCCCTAGGTGTAGCTTACTAAGATACCTCTTTTTCAAGAAAATCACTAAAAAATCTTGATTTCATATGGATGCTGTGTAGACACTTTTCCAGAAATTAACATTAAGGAGAATGGGATGGGATATGAATTTCTGCCTTGTGCACCTGAGTTACTCCAGCCAAACAAAAGGTTTCATTCTATTCTATTCTTTTGGTGAACCAGCCAATACATAACTATGCAGGTTTTTACTCCCCTCTGTCTTGAAAGGACAAGTCATAAAAGGACTGTCTTGAAACAGGCCCTCATGGACCCGTATGAATAGAGAAAATGCACACTATTAGGGCTCAAATTGTTTTGCACATATTTCAAATGTTACTGAATCCTGACACACTGAAGCCTTTATTTAGCCACAAGAAAGAAAACTACTTTTTTAGATTTTACGTAGGGTGACCATATGTTACTGAGTGTACAAGAAATCACCAGTCTACTTGCACAACCTACACTATGAAACTGAGTTTCAAGTGTGATAAGGGTTAAGGAAATTACATTGCTTTTCAGCTAGACTATCTCCTCCATTATCAGTAAGTGCAACACTTGTTTTAAGCTTGGTTCATACCACTGAAATGCCCAACAGCATCATCTTTCTAACTCTTGATGGGTATATGCCATGGGGGGTATTTTTGTGACAAGAAGACAAAAAGAGCCTCATTTAGATGGCTGTGCAATGGGTAGACAGCTATTTTCACCATCGCTGTTTAGAAACCCTGAGAATAAAAAAAAAAAAAAAAAAAAACAAAAAAAAAAAAAAAAACAGCTTGTGAAACAGAAAGAAAACAAGAGAATCTGAAAGAATGCCAGGTCTATGCACGCTGCTGTTCCGGGAATACTCAGCCCAGTTCAACAGCAGATTTATGCCAACAGCAGACTCGTGCCGAAGGGACCCTCCATCCCGGTTACCTCGCGGCGCCTGCCCCGGAAGACAGTAGTGCGAAAATGTTCCGCTTTCTCTCACAGACCGGGGGAGCCGGCCCTGCCTCTCGCCACCCCCGGACGAGGGCTCGGGGCCGGGAGGGTCATTGTCACCGCCTCCGGCGGACCTGCAGCCCCGGGGCTCCCGGGACCGCCGCCGCCGCCGGCATCGCCCCCGCCGCCCGCGCCGCGCCGCACCCGCGACACCCCGCCCGAGCCCGCACTCACTGTCCCGTTATCGTCCACCCCCAGAAGGTGTCCGTGGAGGATCTCCATGGGGGCGGAGGCGCTGGAGTGCACGAAGGTCCCCTTGAAGACGTGGGTGAGCGGCGGGCGCTGCGGGGAGCTCATCGCGGCGGCGGCGGGCTCGACGGGCGCGGGCTGGGAGCTGCCACCCCGCGGGCTGCCTTCCCTCGGCGTCTCTCGGAGCCGCGGGCGACTTCCTGGAGCTGCCATTTCCCCACCCCCTGGTGGGACTTTCTTCGCCGGGAGTGGTTGGCCGCAGAGAGGGCGGGAGGCTGCCCGCACCCTGTGCCTTCCCGCGGGGTGCCCGGGCGGTGCGCGGGGTGCCCCCGACCCGCGCCCTTCCCGCCGCTGATGCCCTCATCCCAGGGATGCGCTCTCCTCCGTGCAAGAGACACGAACGACGGGAGAGACGCCCGGTGGGTTTTGGGGTCCCGGTTTCTTCCCGGGAAGCCGTGAGAGATTCGGTAATGTGTCTGGTAGTGTTTTACGAGTGTCCGGCAGCTCGGCTTTGCAACCAACCTGCGGGTTGTAACCACTCCCAGAAATTTAATTTACAGTAGAATTTGTAGTTTGGAAAAGACCTTTAAGACCTTCAAATGCCTGTCTGGTCAGTCCTCTGTGTCGGACATTAGAATAGACATTAGGAGTAGAGAACAGATGCCAGCTGAGGTACCAGAACTTCCAGAAGTAGGCAGCCTCATTCAACGGAGGTCTACAGAAAAAAACAACCTCAAGAGGATGAAAGGCAGAGAAAAATTAATTTTGTTAACTCAGAGAAATGTGTCCCCAGAATGACATTTTGCTCCAACAAGTTAAGTCAAAGTACATGATGAACACACCCTAAGAGGATCACTATTGAGATTGTTGGACTAAGACTTCACAAAGGCAGAATTGTGTGAATCAAGGTTAACACCATGAATGTCCTCTGAATTAATGTTTGAAGTGACCTTTATTCTTCAACTTTATTATCAACTGACAAATGAGCTTGTCACCGAGGGCACTGACACTATTATTTTCAAGGCTGCATTGCAAAGTTTGTCATTACATGGTTTATCATAAAAGACCTTTGCACTCCCCGTTGTGCTGACACTATATAAATGCATGACAGATTATCTTTCCTGCAAACCCTCCAGATAATGGTGGGAGGAAAGAGGAAATACAGCAGGAAAGTGCAGAATAAATTTAATTTTAGTCTGCTATGGGCTAGTCATCAGCCTCTATCTTGCCTCCTTTGCATAAGAATGTGTTATGTTACTGAGAATGAAGTTTAAAAAATATTGATTGCATTGATATCAGTGAGATGTTCATATATGGATTTTGAGATCAGCTTAGGCAGGCAATAGAGTGTTCTAAAAAAAGGAAAAACAGACGTGAAAGTGACTTTTACTTACTTGTATGAGAAGTCTTGCATTTTAATAAAACTCACAATGACATAAAATTGTTGTTTAAGACACATTGCAGTTTTTTATTGTATTTCTAACATCTTTGACACGAGAAAATAGCACACAAAACAAATCAGAAGTCTTGCAGATTAATCCAGTTTGGAGAAGAAACTGGCAGAAAAATCCTTCATGCAGTTTAGTATGTTTAAAACACAAAAACACTGTTTCTTTGAAATGCAGAGTAATACATTTTTCAAAAATAGCACCAAAAGTTTTCTCAATTAGGACTAGCAAAAACCCTTTTCCAAAGTTGTTTCTTTCACACCAAAGGGTGTTGCAGTTGTGGTCGTCAAGGCTACAGCTGAAATGAGCTGTTTTCCAAGCTATTACTCCAGACAAGGAAAATTGTCTTTTGCGGCAGAAGGGATAAAGAGTAGGAGAAAGGCTGGTTTTGCTACTGAGTAATAAGGTGAAAGGAGAAACAGGGTGAAGGGACCAAGCCCTGCAGCGGTAAATTCACTCGATCCTCCTGTGAAGAGAGGAGTGAAAACAGGAAAACAGTTTTCCCAGCAGCAGCTGCTGCTCCACACGACTTGCCTTTGCCCTGGCGGCAGCAGGCAGCACAAGAGCTCGAGGGTTGGTACCAAGAGCTGTATTAGCCTGATTTGCATTAAATGAAGCACACAGTTGTCCAGGACAGCATGCTGGAGAGGTAAACCGAGGGAGCTGCTGCTACCGAACTCATTTACTCTGCTGTTAAAAATAATATTCAACAGAGCTCAGTGTTTCTGAGAAACCTCTTGGTTGTGTTTGGTGTGGAAGGGGGCTGCTCCTGAGAAGCTCTGTCTGCTTCAACCCTAGTTTTCCATTAAAAATCTCAGGGATTGCTTCCAGCTTCCTTAAAGAAAGAAGTGCAGTGATTTGAGCTAGATGTAATCCAGATAGTATTTATGTAAGAGAAGAAAACCAAAAATATGGACAATCAGATTCATTAGTACTTTTAAGGAGGAACGTCAACAACAAACACTGCTTTTTTTTTTTTTTTTTTTTTTTAACTTAAGAATGGTTAACACCTTTCCCCTCCTCCCAGGATTATTTTAATTTTAATTTACAACCAGTTACATATGCATGCCCTGGATACTTACATGAGTCAAGGTGAGATCTTGGCCAACTATGAAAAACCGAGTCATTGTTCCAAAATGTTGTAAGACAGAACCATGCTTAGATTTTTCAGGGATAAACTGGGCTTGGCATTTCACCATCTGGAATAGAAGTGTAATGCTCTGTTGTGACTGTTATATAGTAATTATTTTAAGGGTAGCTTTTTTTTTCCCTCTTTCTTCAAAATAGTTAATGGTCTGGAGAGAGACATTTATCATTTTATAAATCATGCAATGAGTATTCTTTTAGTAGAATTTAATATTATCATATATGTGTTAATATATGTAATAAATAATAGTGTGTAATTTGATCTAATACAGTTTTTTTTTAAAAAAAGTCTGTCTTGTTATTCAGTAGCTTATCAGACTCTCTGTGTCTTCTAAATTATCGATTTCTAGGATATTATTGAATTGAGTCTTTAGGTGAGTCCATATTCAGGATTAGAATAATCAGTCAATGTATCTCTAAGAGCACAAGGACAGATTTTAACAGAATAAGAGTGCCTTTATTCTCCTTGACACTTTCACTTTCTGATCTTTTCTTCACTTGTCACACTGTGCCAAGGAAGAATTCAATTACTTGATTCAAACTCTCAGAGTACCTAAGTTGATCCTGCAACATCTGAGAAGTATAAGAAAAAGAAACCTCCTCCCCACTGCTCTCAAAAAGTAGTTGATGGGTTATTTGCCACCAACAAGAAACTCCTCTGTCATGAGCCTGTTGAGGTCAGTGCCTGTGCAGCCTGAGTGCTGGGATACAAGAACTGTTACTCTGATCTGGCAATGAATGTTATTGTAGCATTTATGATCAAAATTGACCTTGTCTGTAATTCGCAGCATAGCAACTAGGTAAGAGGAGAGGAAAAAAAATACAGTTGATTTATCTGCCAATAATTGACTTTTTTCCTGGATAAGGAAGAGCTGATTATGCAGCTACTGAATCCTTTGGATTATTTAAAAAAAACCCCAAAGGAGTGAAACATGAGAAATACCTACTCTCAAGTGAGAAATTAAATTGGGAGCTAGGTTTTAATCCAGCATAGGCTACTACACACACCTTATTTTCCCACAAAAATTTATATAATCAGAATATGTTATATTACTTAACTTTTCCAACTTCACCTAAAAGTGAAAATTACCACATTCCAAAAGAATATGAGGAAATGACAATAAAAACAACGTCTTTGTCATTTGTCACCATGAGTATTCACTCTGCAGGTCCCAGCTGGAGCTTTCTGCCTTTGATATCTAAGTCTACACAGCCTTGGGAATCCAAGGTTGAGACACTGCCAGGGGATGCTAGAGTTACTTTCTGATGCTTCCTATCTCCTAAAGAGGCCAGTACAGGCATAGTACTGTCATAAAATATCCCACCATTAGAACTTAAAAATGACATTTTCTGCTTGCTCACAGATACATGATTAACTGAAGTACAGGCTGGCTGATGTTAGCTCTTACACTCATAAAGTTTTTCTGTTTTACTGCCAAGGCTTGTTCACAACAGGAATTGTATTAACTAAGCCAGAAATGTTCTTAAAGAGAGACAGCAAATGCTACACAAATATCAGTAAAACTCATCTCTCATTAGAAGTACAAGCATGAATAGATGAAATATGTCAAAATATTTTGTTGACAAATTTGTTGTGTTTTCCACAAGACACAAAGGATGAATCAATGTGCTTGGTGTACTTTACCTCTGATCATGTTAAAAGAGAATGCAATAGAATTTGGGTGTCTGCTGCTGTTAACAGAGATTTATGGGAACAAAACATGGAAAAGAAATTTGAATTTGCAGCTCAATCTGCTCAAACTGCCAGCATAAACATATTTATTTGGTATCCAGGTGACACATACTTGTACTACTTTCAGCTTCAATGTGAGTGGAACACATTCCCAAAGAAGTTGTGGATGCTCCATCTCTGGAGGCTTTCAAGACCAGGTTGGATGGGGTTTTGAATAGTGGAAGGTGTCCCTGCTTGTGATATAGGATTTGGTCTAGATGAATTTAAATGTCAAAAAACCCTAAACCATTTTGTGATTCTAGGTAACTTCCTTCTTCGGAAGATACCTGTCTTTTTTTTCCCCAAAGGTAATAATGGTGCTCACAATTTTATGGAGTGCTCTTCTTGAATCTCAAGAACATGAGGGATACATACCGAGTCACATACCCATGCTCTTGTTGACACCTCCAGAAGAGAATCCTGACAGAATTCTCAAACTAATCACAGAGCTACTCCCAAAAGCAAAATTGTTCTGCTGGAAATGCATCTGGACAAACTTTACTGACTGAAACACTATGAACACATAGATAAACAACATACTACTACAAAGCAGAACACCAAGACATAAAGAAATGTTGCAGAGGACATGAATCAATGTTAAGAAGCATTGGATTACTTTTGTCCTTTTTAGCCAAGAGTTTCCAATAATATTTTTTTTTGTCATGATTGGTGTTCTTTACTTCCTCACCTCAATTTATTGACTAGATTGTAACTAACTGCATTTTTTCAGTCCTGTTTTTCTGCGACTCCCCTTTATGCTGTAGTCTTTCTCCTGCATATCACGCACAGAAGATTTTAGGCTGGAAAATACCTCTAAGATCATTCAGTCCAACCTCTGACTGCACAACACTAGACCACAGTACTGACAGCCATTGTCAGAAACATCCAGTTGTT